ACAGCATTTTTTCACACCTGCCTAAAACTTTCGCACAGTACTGTACATCTCAGCATCTACAGCCCACAGTAGAGTTGCTTCAGAAAGGCACCATTTTGACACTGGGCTTTCTTGGCAGTCTAAAGGCTCTAAGGCTATAATATATATCCCAGGCCTGATGAGAAGGAGGAGGCAAGGGAGCAAAAGCCAAGCACAAGATCACAGTGGAAGATGGATGAGTTTCTCTAGCCACGGGTTGGATTGGAAATAAGTCAAGCTCTTCTGCCCCACCCCCCACCCCAACACACCAATAGGGAAATGGCTCAGGTGATTTTTGAATGAATCCAAATTCCGTACAGCTTTTCAAATTGAAGTTCCTCATCTAAAGCAATAAAAAGACTGTTGCTTTGCTGGGTAGGTTGCTTTGCAGAACCACTCCCAAAGTAACAAGGATGAAAATGCATCTTCTGTGAGTTCTTTTAGGCTGGAAGATCTAGTTCATGTGTATGTAGAAAGATAGAAAAGAATACAGTCTGTCCCACTAAGCATTATCTTTATGAGATGTAGTACTTCAGTGCAGAGCATGATTTAGGAAGTTTTTTCTGGCTTCACTGAGACAAACATTTCTGAGTCCCCCAAAGCTTATTATTTGAGCTTGATGAACTTGGATGCATCTCTGTTGCAAGCCTAATGCTTTACCTAGACAAACTTTGAGCTGATCTGGATAGTATAGGTGTACCAGTATTAGGGAAAAACCAAAAGTGGCCTGAATGGAAGCCTTCTCTTGGGGAATGGAGGGGGCAGCCTGGCAGAAATCTAGCACATGCCAGTTGTGAGCCTAGAATCTCCTCATAGACACATTGGTGCATTCAGCACAGGAACAAATCTTTTAGTCCTTTTGAATCCTGACTGCTTCACCATCTCATCTGCTAAAATTTGGCTCGGGTCTTCTCCACAGCCCTGAGCAGAGGTTCTCTGAACACATCAAAGATGAGAAGAGCACTGACTTTCCACAGAGGTTTATCCTCAAGCGAGACGATACCAGCATTGATCGAGATGATAATCAGGTAGGAGATGCCATAGTATAACTTGACTTGCATGCATTCCTCATTAGTGGACAGTGGTCACATTTATTAGCTTTCATCACTTGTTATTTCCCCTGGCTCTGCTTCTTTACAATATTTACATACTTGGTTAAGTTCCCATGAGCTACTTTACATCATTCAGACAGAATCATATTTGTATGGAAAGCGGACTTCCCCAATCTGGTGCCCTCCAGAAGTGATGGGACAGCAAGTCTTGTAATTCCTAGCCAGCATGATATAGATTTGGACATATTTACTGGGAATTTAAGAAGTTGCAGGAAGACTAGACCAGGAAGGCTGGTCTAGAGGCTTTTGCTGGTTTAATTTTCAAATTGGAGAGTTAAAGAACCATATTTTTTGAAAGGGATTATGAGGAGTTCCAAGAAGAGCTGGAATGGATTGCAAAGTAATGAATGCAATCCATGCAAAGCGATGAGTACAAAATCCAAATTTTGTATGTACATACACTCAATCCATGCTTTTTTCTTGTAGTGTTAGAACTTGGGGCCATTCATTAAAGCTAAATGTGGAGAGATTCAGGACTAATAGAAGAAGGTGGCCCTTTATACCACATAATCAATTGGTGGAATTTTGGGACACTGGAGATGAATCTCACCAGTCAAGAATGTTTTAAATGGGGCTGGACAACTTTTTGGAACATCAGGCTATCAATGACCACACTTTACTACTGGAATCACAAGCAAAATCCCTTAAATACCATTTGCGAATGATCAACTGAACAAGGGAGTAACAGTTATCTACATCCTACTGACTTCCACTCTATTTCTGTGAGCTTCCAGAGTATATCTAACTGGCCCGTATGTAACAAAGAATGCTGGAATCGATGGGCTGTGGACTTGATCCAGCGGGGCTCTTCTTTTGGTCTGATATTTTCATTGAATTAATGATCAGTAAGGTCTAGCTTTAATTGTTGAACCTGAGAGTTAGGACTTTTTTTTTTCTGTGAGATTATTTTGATTCTGGTGTACTAGAAAGCAAAGAAGAGAACGTGCTAAATTGTTATTTCTTCTAACAAAAAAGGATAGCTTGCAGTTTAACAGGATACTTAGATTTAGAAGTTGCGTTATAATCGTGGAGATGAGGCCATGTTGTGCCTGCCAGACTGCCTGTTATGTGGACTGCATGGGCTTGATTTATACATGCAAGCTGTGATGGTTGAAAGCAAAATAATTCTTATTCCCTTTTTGTCACAAATATTGGGATTAAATGGCTTCAAAAAATTTGCTCGCCAAAACCCAGAAATATTTCCAAAGCAGACTAATTTACCCAGGCAAATCTGTGCTCTCAGCCTGCTTAAAGGATTCATAAAGTATTTGCTGATTGTATATATATGGTTTGCTGTTGGGTTTGGCATAGAGCAAGGCCTTAACTAAACAAAGTTCTGTTTGTCAATCTAGATTAGGATCCCACTGCAGGATGGACGAAGGAGCAAATCTATAGAAGAGCGAGAAGAGGAGTACCAGAGGGTGAGGGAACGCATATTTGCACGGGAGGTAAGTATGGATCCATTTTCATGGGACCCATAAGATGTTCAGTATTCTATATATCTATAAGTTGATTTGTGTTTAATTATCATCTGAACCTCTAAAGAATTTAATTTCCTTTGAAACACTGAATCATTATATTTCTGCTGGGGCACAACCCGGAATCACCAGGAAATTACCAAGTACAGTACAATTATGGAGGCTCTTTACAATGAACATTTAAGACACAGAAACATGAAGTTAAGCAACTGAATTTTATCCAGTGCAGCCTTTAGCCCTAAGATAACCACTTAGCTAGCTCAACAAGATAAGTAAGCCCCCTTCTGATACCAAGAAATGAGCCATGGGCAATTAGAGGTTATATCAGTCTTCTCCCAGTACTGGCCTGCTGTAATGATAGTACAAGGAAAACCATTAGCATCAGGAAAAGGAGGGAGAACAAAAGGGTCCAGACTAAGACTTTACAAGTAAATGTTATTTTTGCCACTTCTAAGGAAAGCAATTGTCTTCCTTTTTTCCCTAGCAATCAGGGTGTTTTGAAATACAGTGGTGCTTAAAAGTTTGTGAACCCTTTTGAATGTTCAATATTTCTCCATAAATATTACTTAAAATGATGTCTGTTCCCCACACAGGTCCTAAAACAAGATAAAGGGAACCCAGTCAAACAAGTGAGTCAAAAACATTATACTTGTTCATTGATTTATTGGGGAAAATGATCGAAAGTTACATATTTGTGTGTGGCAAAAATACGTGAACCTCAGGATTATCAGTTCATTTGAAGGGGAAATTAGAGGCAAGTGTGATCATCAATCAATGGGATGATAATCAGGTGTGAGTGTGGGAGGTCCTGCCTTATTTACATAACAGAATTCTGGGTGTTCACTATCAAAGTCTGATCTTCACAACACAGTGTGTCATGAACAAAGATTTCCGAGGACCTCTGAAAAACAGTTGTTGATGCTCACCTGGCTGGAAAAGTTTACAAACTATTTCCAAAGAGTTGGGATTCCACCAGTCCACTGTCAGGCAGATTGTGTACAAATGAAGGCAATTGAACACTATTGTTACTCTCCCCAGGAGTAGTCAACCAACCAAGATCACACCAAGAGCTAGGCATGCAATATTCCAGGAGGTCTCAAAGAACTCCAGGGTAATGTCTAAGGAACTAAAGGCTTCTCTTACATTGGTGAATGTCAATGTTCATTTTTTTTATTTATGTTTCAAATTTGGTCACCACCCATCTCACTAGGAAGTAACTCTGGGCAGTTTACAGTTTAAGAGAGACTACCATGAGACTACCATCAAGACAACACTGAATAACAGTGGTGTGCATGGCAGGGTTGCAAGGAGAAAGCCACTACTCTCCAAAAAGAACACTGCTGCCTGTCTGCAGTTTATGAAAGACCACGTGGATAAACCAGAAGGCTATTGGAAGAATGTTCTATGGATGGATGAGACCAAAATAGAACTTTTTGGCTTGAATGTATGTTTGAAATGTTTGGCAAAAAGTGTTATGTTTGGCAAAAGGCAAACACTGCATTCCAGCATAAGAACCTTATCCTGTCTGTGAAACGTGGTGGCACTATCACAGTTTGGGCCTGCTTTGCTGCCTCTGGACCAGGACGGCTTGCCATCATTGATGGAACTATGAATTCTGAATTGTACCAGCAAATTCTACAGGAAAATGTCAGGGAATCTGTGAAATTGGGTCATGCAGCAAGACAACGACCCAAAACACACAGGTTGGATGACCAAAGAATGGTTGAAGCAGAAGAAAATTAACATTTTGGAATGGCCAAGTCCAAGTCCTGACCTTAATCCTATAAAATGGTTGTGGAAGACCCTGAAGCGAGCAGTTCATGCAAGGAAGCCTGCCCACATCCCAGGGCTGAAACTGTTCTGTAAGGAGGAAAGGACTAAAATTCCTCTAAGCTGATGTACAGGAGTAACCAACAGTTATTGGAAAGGTTTTGCTGCAGTTATTGCTGCCCAAGGGGTGCACACCAGTTACTGAAAGCAAAGGTTCGCATACTTTTGCCACACACAAGTATGTAGCTTTAGATCATTTTCCTCAATAAATCAATGAATCAGTATAATGTTTTTGATACATTTTTTAAAATTGGGTTCTCTTTATCTAGTTTTAGGACTTGTGTGGAGAACAGATATTGTTTTAGGTCATATTTATGCAGAAATATTAAAAATTCAAACAGGTTCACAAACTTAAGCATCACTGTAGGTTGACTACCAAATTTCTTCATAGTTGTATATATGGGGGTTATTGCAAATCTGGAATTTGTGTAAAGTCAAATGAACATAGTTTTGTTTCATTATAGATTTTCTGCCTGATAGATACAGTCATGGGAAAGTTTTAACAGGGCTTTGGGGAGCCCTTCTGGAATGTTTAGATGTTTAGATTTCAGCCTGCTGTAATCATTGTCTAATGAGATTTCTTTCTATTTCTGTTTCAAATTGTGCGGCTCTGCTTGACGTTAGTCGGGCCAAAATGGATTCCTGAATGAAAGCAGGTTAGTAAAGCTTGTGCATGCTTCCTTCTAATCTTCAATCTTTCTTGAGGATCCTGAAACTCCATAACAATGCTTTTCTTTGATGTTAACCAACAGACTCGCCAAAGAAGGCTTTTCTTCTAGCTCTCACAAAAGGCGACAGATCTTTAGGTACCTCTGTGTGATTTCTTGCATACATTTGTCTTGCAGAGCAAGTTCGCACCATGCATGGCTGCTTGTCGAGTCCTTCAAGTTGTCATATCTTTTGCAACATCACTTTCTGTTTTTCTTCTCCCACAACAAGAGAGAAATGGGTGCTCAGAGACTTTTTATTGTTTTTAGTGTCTGAGAACATTTACTTAGGTAGTAAATTCTATTGCTTCCCATGCAGCTGACTTCCAAGTAAGTGAGCTTAGGGTTGAAGTCTTGCAAAGAGTTAGAATGGGGAAATGGATGAAAAAAACAGAAATGCTTCAGTCTTTGTGCAGCTGCTTCCCCTATCTATTGATGCTTCTGGAAGATATAATCTTGTATCTTGTAATTCAGCTGGCTTTCTTTAACCTTATATGATGAAGAGAGTGTCAGCCAAACTGCAGGGTCAAATTTTAAGCTGTCTTTTGTTCTCTCAAAATAAATTTCATATGGCTCAGCATAGGAAGCTGCTTTATACCAAGACAGATCATTGATTCATATACCTCAAGACTACCTGCTGTGTCTCACAGGAACTCACTGATGCTTCAGACTGGTCTTTCTCAGTCCTGTATGGAGAAGATGCCTGGGATTAAACTTTGAACAAATGCTCTACAACTGTCTATGACCTTTCTTCTCAAAGGGATGGAGCAGGCCACTGTATGCCAGCAGGGTAGCTGAGCTAAACAATCTTTTGAAAAGGTTAGCAGGACCTTTGCAATGGAGAAGGAGAAAGTTAAGATCTCTCTCTTACTATTGCTGCAAATGAAAACTATGCTTTTAAAATAACGACAACAATAATAATAGTTAACATTGATTATTTTTTCTGAACCAGGGAGAGCATTCTAAAGCATGAATCAGCTCCTTTCTTCAGATAAGTGAGGGGCAGGCTAATTGGGGGCTCTAGAAGGAGAGGAGCCTCTTTACACTCGCAGACCACTCCTGTTTAATCTTAGAAGTGCTGTAGCAAAGGAGGGATCTGGATCTCAGATTCTACGTGCTGTCCAGGAACATAAAATTCTGTGAACAGCTTACATTAGACAAGTGTAAAAAGTAAATATAAAATAAGGCATTCTAAAAGTAGCCATACATTCTAAAAACAGGAAACCAAACTAGCAAAACCCCCACATGGATTTCAAAGCCCAGAGGTCCGGATTTCTGTGACTTATTTAAGAAACCCAACTGTCTTTTCCTGACACCCTGAGTCCTCAACGATGGCTTCGGGGCTCTCAGGGAAGACATTTACATTTGTCAGGATGCCATTACTGAAAAGGCCCTCTGCCCTGGGATCACCTGGCGCTCAGGGCAGAACCTCAGAAAAATAGCTTGGGTAAATAAATATGATTATAATTTTAGAGTCTTGGAAGGTTAGAGTCCGCATACTAGCTAAAGCTGATGAAAGAAACTTTAAGAGGCAAAGGTCAGTTGAGCTTCTAATGACAGTGGTGGGTGAACAAGTACCATCCAGACTATGAAGAGAAGAGCAAAACCATCTAGAATACACACACACATGCACACATATTACAAATTTGTAACCTATTCACCTAGCTGAATATGTAATAAAAACTTCTGTTTTGCTGGGATTTGGTCTCAGGTTGCTTGCTCCAGCTACTTCATTAAAACAGCTCATGTGCAGGTTGAGGATAACAGCAACAGCAGCAGCAGTAAAAAAAATTACTGAACACCAAGGAAAAAAAATCAAAAGAAGAAAACAAAAAGGAAGCAACTGAAAACCAGTTTAATGCATGGAAATCTAAACTACTTCACGCTCAATATATACATGATATTGAAGGGGAATCAGATCAATATTTGACTTGGCAGCAGCTAAAAACTGGAATTCTTTAAAAGGAAAAGCACAGAGGAACCATCATGGCAGAACAACAGGCTACAAATCATCAAAGCCAAAATCGAATATCTTTTTAAATGATAGCAAATGCCAACTATGTAAGATCAAAGATGAACATGTAGACCACCTCATTAATGGCTGTAGCAAAATTGCCCGAGTGTATTAGCAATGCCACGAAAGAGCTGCAAAAATTGTGCATTGAAATTTTTGTAGAAAACTTGACTTTACTGTTAACAAAAGCTACTGGCACCACACACCTGCAAAAAAAAATAAGGAGGTCAGAATCTTGGGTTTTAAAATACAAACCAACGGACACCTGAAATACAACACACCAGACATTGCTGCTATTGGGGGGGGAAAAGTGAGGTTCATAGATGGAGCAATATCAGGAAATAAATGAATTGATGAAAAACACATGGAAAAAATACTGAGATTTGCAATTTGAAGTTGAAGGACTTTGGAAGAAAAAATCAGCTATAATGCCAGTAGTAATTGGAGTTCTTTGAACCACACCAAAGGGATTCACCCTTTGTAGGTTTTAAATTTATTGGACTTGAAACTGCTCACTTTGCAAAAAATGCCTTGCTTGTAACTTCTTATAAACTATAACAATATCTTCATGATTCCTAGGCTATTGGATAGAACCCAAATCTTTGGAAAACATCCAGTCTAAAGACTGATATTCATTGTATGAATTGATGATGATGGCAATGTTTAATTTGCATAGTGATGACACATCACACCAAATCCTCAATTACCCTTTTTAATGTTGCTCATTAACAATATAAAAGGAAAAAAACCTTGCAAATTCTAAACTGTGATGCTAAAGCCTTATGCAGTAATTTTCCAGCACCACTTTCTTGAAGTCACTGTGGAAATAGGAGCAGAATCAAGGAATTCTTCATTCTTCCCTTCCTTTAGCGCGTAACTTATTTATTAACATTGCTTTGCTACCTTGATAAACAAGCAGTTAAGTTGTGTGGATTGTTCAGTAAGAGCAGTCTGCATGGCATGATATAAGTATTTTTGCTTTGTGATTATAGAACACAGTATTTGCCCAAGGCCTGCATAGCAAATGTGGGCATTAAAAACCAAACTATACCTATCAGAGTTGAACTGAAATTATTATTCTTGGGTAGCTGCTGCTCACTTCAGTGCAATTTATATAGGAATTTGTTCCTGGGCACTGTGTCCCACATCTGAATCTCTCTTTGGTTCTGCTACTTTTAATAGCAGCCATCAAACTCAGTTGCCTAATGAGGCTGCCTCATGTGTGCTTTCCAGAACATTTTGAGAATCAGTTATTAGATCTTCGGGATAATTTGTCGAAACCTAACCAGAACAAAACCTCCTGAAGATAAGGAATTCATCTGTAGGCATGGCAGCTTCCTTTCAGGTGGTAGGATGCAATTAAGAAGTTGAAGCTACTGGGGGACATTCCCTGGAACTCAGCATGGAGCTCCTTGTTCTCAGCAATTTGTATCTGTAACTATATAAAGAAGTGATACGAGTTAGAATTGGCTAGTAAAAGCAGTGATTAACAGGTTGCTTTACTCCTACTCAAGTGAGGTCTGTTGATTGAGTTAAAAAGATATAGCCTGTGTGAAAGTTCTTCTGTACTTCTTAAAATGAACCCTACTGATCAACACTACTGGTCAACTTTCCTTCCAATGCTGCCTATATAAAATAAACTCCCAGTTTATTGTGTCCAAAGTATGTTTGAAGGTTGTCTATCTCAAAATCTAGCCAGTTTCAGTAACTTGACATTCAGGTTACAGAGTATGTTGTTTAACCTCTTGCATAGATAATTTTTTACTGTTCTGTTCTGTTCTGTTCTGTTCTGATGATGGTGGGGGAATTGAAATGCTTGTTGACTCAACTTTTTTTAGTATGTCATTGGCAATGAGTGGCCATGCCCCCCCTCCCCCCCTCATTTTCTCATTGTGATAAAGTCTTCAGGTTCTGTGTTCATTTCCTTAGTTTGAAAACTCCCCATTGCTCAGCAGTGCAGGCTTTGTGGAATAGAGTTCTGTACATCACATCTTCCCCAGAAATTGGTCAAAACAGTCTCTATTGCCAGCATCTGTAATGATAGACTGACTCTTCAATTTGCCATAGTAGGTTGGGTTCATTCTTCCACCCAATCCTTTCAGATGGTAGAAATGATCTTTTCAAAGTCTGACTTACTCATTTTAATATTGACAAACCAAAACCACCTGCTCCTAATCTTTCCAGTCTTGACATATGATGGGGGAATTGAGAAAGCAAAATACCAAACCTCGGAAGAGAATTGCTGACTCTTTCCAGCTTGGCAAGCATGGATTTTTTGGGGTTCTTTCGCAATTGAAAGACAGCCTACTGTTATCTCTGTATCTGGCTAAAGTCCCTTGTCCAGATTTGGAACTTAGCCACCCGGCAGTAGCTATAGACACATTTAAATGTCTGGGCTTCCATTGACTGAGGACCATTTTTATATTCATCTACAAGTCTAATATGAAGCTTTGCTGAACACATGGAGTTCAGTAGGTTGTTGGTATATATACGCCGGAGGAATTCATCCTGTAATTGATTGCCTTCAATAATAAGATATCCACCTAGGGAAAAAGAAGGGAAGAAGCTTATGAATACACAGCTCTTTATTTATAAGCTCTGTGCAATTTTAATGTACATCCTTGAGAGCTCTTTTAGGTGCAACAAGATCAAACCTTTGATAGCCAACAGTGTTAAAAATAAAAGATTATTGGAGTAATCTGGATACCAAAGATTTAAGAGTTACACCTAAAAAGCACCTCTGCAAAAAGATATACATTTTATACCTATTAGATTAATAAATATTCTTTCTTTTCTTGGATCTAGAAACTTACTTCCTCCTCTTCCGGCATTGGGTACTGAGCCTTTTTTTTTCTTTTCCCAACATACTCTTATTTAAGCCATGCCTGTTGCCTGAAGGACTGTGTGCCAGTATTAGTAGCTTGTTAACAGAGTTGTATTTATCGGCATTTGGTATTGAAAAACAATTAGCTTCTATTCCCAAGGGATGTAAACATGAGGTCTGAAGCCAAAAGACCTGAGTGTATAAAGCCTTGTAAAGCCAACATGGTGTTGGCTGTGTGTATTTCAGTTTCAAGCTTTGTGA